ACAGACATCGTCGAGGCATCTGCACAAGAAGCCGACATGTCAACCTGAGACCGAGCACTTCGGTCCAATCAATCGACGGGAAAATCAAAAATTCAATTCAATGTCTCTTTTAGTTCCTAGAATAACATCGGGCTTCAGCCTCAGGTCCTCATTGCATCCGGTTCTCTGCCAATGTTTTCACCCCGCTCCAAGTCTGCCCACATGCTTTCATCTCCTCTTCACATGACCTCCCCCAAGTCACCCTCCCACTGACGACCAACTCGCCGCTTCTCATTCTAGTTCGACTCTAGCAATGGCCTGATGTGTGATGTCACTTGATGGTTTCTTTTCTCAGAGTATGGCCAATCCAATCCACCTCCATTTCTTCCTGCCTATTTGTTTCACAATCGTTTCTGGTTGGTTCGCTCATTGCCAGAGATCCGTCCCTGTTGCTGATCTTTTCTGGCCGGCCATCTGATCTTTAGTAGTATTGAGGGAAAACAGTTGTTGATGAAGGTCTGTAGTTTTTTTCGAAGTGCCTTTCGTGACGCAGCGCGGCGCCAAGTCTCTGATCCATATAGTGGGTAGCACTGACTTCACATTAGAGCAAATTAAGCATTCATTCAGAGGAGGACTATTGTCAGAAGCGCTTCACTTACTATTTCACAAGATCATTTCCTGTACGTCATAACACTCGAAGTTATTTCCTTGACAAGATTGTATAAATACTTATTCATTCTGGCCACAAATTATTATTTAATAAACACTGTATAATTGTTCTTAACCTCTAGTATACGATTAAAAAGATTGTTGCCCCCACAAATCTAAATATGCATAGAACTTTGATTATCTGCCAATTGTTAACGTTTCATTTAACTCAATATTGACCCTTAAAAATAACACTGCATAATTATTTGCCCTCAATAAATAAATTTTGGGGCATACAAATCCTCAAAAAATAAGCTTCATATGACTCATCTTTGTCAGCTACTTTATATGCATTGCAAATAATTTATTGTAGTCACTGTTGTCTTTTTAGGCAAATACTTAATCAGTTATATTATCAGACAAAAGGCTGATCACTTGAACAGCAAAATAATTGGTCAAACAATTAAATTATTATTTTTATTATAATCCTACTGTGTTTCATGAAACTTATTTGGTAGCAATAAACCCAGTGATAATGAAGTTTATATTTATTTAAGTAGTAATTGCTTTGAAGATGTTATGCCTCATATACCCTGTTTTATTGTAATCCTCCGAACCAACATTTTTTTAGAAAATTCTATTCCTTTGCGTTCCCAGTGGAACGCATAGGGCTTCAAGCTAGAGCTTTGAAGTTTCGGTAGAAGTGGTGTTTATTTTTACGGGATGGGGTCGCTAGCCTCATATTCAACCTTCTCTCTTAACAAGTTCTATTACTGGCTTAGCAAGGTAAAGGAGTGCGTCGGCCGGGGCTCGAGCTCCGAACCACATGCGTGGTTGGGGAACATTATATGGCTATACCACCGAAGTACATTAATTATTTATATTTACAGTAAAATCTTTTTCTGTCAAAATAAAAAACAGGTGATGAATCAAAAAATCTTCACACGTCTCACGCATCTCAGAATAAGGGACATTCAGGTCTTCTAGAATAGAAGAAGCGGGTACACTTCAATACAGAAATGATTTCCAGTTATCAACATATAATGGGTTACTTTTATAAAGCATACTGCGTTGATTTATATACTGGAAACCTGACTCGGTAATATATGAATGGTATGTTGATATATCTGTCTAGTTTAAAGGAAATCTAAGGCCGTTTTCAGACGTAAATGAGGAAATATAAAAAAATGCAAGAATAGCTGCTTATTCAGTCGTACCTTGGACAAGAAGATAATATAGGAACTTTTCAGATCAACGGAAATCATACAAATGTTAATGCCGTATATAAAAGGTTCATTTTTCACCAAAATACTTTGAAAATATTACTCTAGCCCTGGAAATCGTCAGACATGAGTACCTTGTATAAAAACCAAAAAGACAGAATTTTTCACTCAGTTGTTTTTCAAGTAGTCGCCAACATAGTTGTTTTTTTTCAGGGCTGAATATACTATCAGTCCTCCTAGACATTGAATTCCTCTCTTCTTAATGATTTGTTTTCTTCTATTAAATAAGACCAGATATGAAACTTACGTCCATTTAAAAAAAATTAAAGTGGAAATCACTCTTCTAAGCACACACATTCAAGGGAACAAAACTTCAGTCAAAAATCAAGATGTTTTGTTGTACTGAATTTATCTTGAAGGAAAATTCGTATTAATGCTACTGTATAGTGTTGTAGTATTCTCCTTTTTGTCATCATGTGATTTATTAGTGTTCTTTTTTTTCATTTCTTATGTTCTGATTGGAACACGAGCTTTGAAGTCACAGTAATAGTTTTGTGTTTTTCGGGGTAAGATTGCTAGCCCCCTGTTCAATATTTCCTTATTTCTGGGATTACTTCCAGCTAGTATGTTAGGTGAGGTGTTGAGATGAGTTAACTGGGGTGTCGGACGCGGTCATTTCAAGTGATTGAAGAGCATTCCATCACTGAATGACCAAAGTACAATTAGCATTTAGTATTGTCGAATTTTAGAGGTGATGAAGATTCCTGGCCAACACCGACAGCAACAACAACAACAGACAACAACCAGAATAAATGGGAGGAGTCTGAAAGAAACAACTTCCTTTACCTACCCACCTAGGAAGCATCATTTCAACTACAGGTGGATGGAACTGACGAGGATATCAAAGATGGGATAATCGGAAAAGCAAGACAAGCTTTCATTTCTCTCAAGTATGTGTGGAGATCGACAGCACCCAGAAAGAAAAATAACATCCGGATTTTCAACTCCAATGTGAAGTCAGTGCCACTTGCTATACGGATCGAAGACTTGGAGCGTCATAAAGAACATCTCAAACAAACTACAGACCTTCATCAACAACTGTTTTCCCTCAATACTACTAAAGATCAGATGGCCGGCCAGAAAAGATCAGCAACAGGGACGGATCTCTGGCAATGAGCGAACCAACCAGAAACCGATTGTGAAACAAATAGGCAGGAAGAAATGGAGGTGGATTGGATTGGCCATACTCTGAGAAAAGAAACCATCAAGTGACATCACACATCAGGCCATTGCTAGAGTCGAACTAGAATGAGAAGCGGCGAGTTGGTCGTCAGTGGGAGGGTGACTTGGGGGAGGTCATGTGAAGAGGAGATGAAAGCATGTGGGCAGACTTGGAGCGGGGTGAAAACATTGGCAGAGAACCGGATGCAATGAGGACCTGAGGCTGAAGCCCTATGTTCCTCTAGGAATTAAAGGAAATAATAACAATAAAATTATCGAATTTGTTAGTATAAATTTCATTCTCTTCTTCAACTATACTTCCCCTTTCAGATATAGACTCTGTCACTCAGTTCAAAATTATCTGAACTTGTCTGTCATCTTTCTGATAATTTAAATCCATAAATATAAAATGGAATGAAAGAATAACTGAGTAATTCTGATGATAAAATGGTCAAAGATTTTACTTCTTTTCGGTCTATTTTGCTTACTGTTCCACTTTTGTTCTCATTATTTGAAAGTTATATAGTGAAGGGGAAATTAAGGTGTATTCCTTCTACTGAAAAATCTGAAAGAGACATCTGGAAATATATTTCTTCAGTATGTCTAATGATTATTCATAGTCATTGGTTGGAGGATTCCACCAGGAGCTGACATCATTTAGAGAACCATTGGGAAAACTGGGAGTACTAGAGAACTGTTTCGTCCTGGTTTTAGACTCTTCATCAGTATGCACCCACCAACACGGTTAAAACCCATAACCTTCTGGTTACAAGGCGAGCTCATAGACCAGTTAGCCACTGGGACGCGATCCAATGGCCAGCCCATGAATCCTAACTAATGCCAATTCATGACATAGCGCGACCACTTCGCAATGTCTTCTTCGATGAGTTACTGCCTCACCTTCAACTTGCTGTACCCTACTGGTCATGGCTTCCAACTAGAACCCGATGTCACTACCTGAATATAGCCAGTCACTAGTGAGCATTAGGTCAATTTTCAAGTATTGGTTTTTGTAGAGATTTAGTTTGATTAGTTGGAGAATTTCATCATAAGCTGACATCAGTTAGAGAGCCATTGGAAAACCTGGGAGTACTGGACAGCTGTTTTGTCAACCTAGTTTGGGACTCTTCATCAGTATGCAGTCCCAAACTGGGACGAAACAGCTTTCCAGTACTCCCATGTTTTCCAATGGTTCTCTAACTGATGTTAGCTCATGATGAAATCCTCCAACCAGTCAAACCAAATCCTTACAAAAACCAATACTTGAATATTCGTAGTCATCTTAAATCTACAAAATCCAAGAGTTAACATTCTGTAAAATTGACTTTTCCAATAATGCAATTTACATGCAGTTAGAAGGGAGGAAACTATGTGGTTTTGTAGACTACAAATGCCTTCTTCAAATATAACTTTCGTAAATACGCTTACTGTATAAATTATACACTCTTATTTTACCTTTAGCAACAGTGTGTAATTTATCTGTTTCATTAATTTAAACACGAATCTACAACAACGGTTTAAAAAATTTTTAGAAACTATAACAAAAATATCTTTGAACTAATGTGGAAATCCGTATACAAATAATTGTAAACCGAAAAATTACAATAGCGAAGATAAAAAGATTTCAAAAGTTATTATTACACACCAGGTTAAAGGTGCTAGTATGTTCTGATATTACAGTTACCTGAATGTTTACTGTTTCACATGGTATAAGAGAACAGCAATAAATAACGTCAATCAAATTCAAACTGTTATCACGACGTACTACATCAAAAAATATTGCCTACTAAATTATAAAAAGTGTCCCAATATGTCGACCAATAAAATACAACAGAAAATAAAATGGATATTTTAATGAACCAATCAGGTGTGTCTTTTGACATGATCACATAAAAGAAAATTTAAATCAAATAAATAAATTTATTTCTTGATATTAATAGAACAATAGTGATTTTTAAAGCCTAATATAAATACACTGAGTGCAACAATACATAACCTAACCTGTGATACATTTATGTAATTCCAAGTATGAATCAGGATAACACGAAAGATACAATTAATTGAAAAACTACTCACTTGTTAAAAACTCTGAAACTCTGATTAGGTACAACACGTATATGTAAATGGATATAAATGCTCCTGGTGGACTCATTATACAAACGTCTAAAAAGTTGAATAACAATAAGTAATAAAGGATGTATTTGTTACAATAGATTTCAATATCTTTAGTTCTCTCCTAAGTAAGTTATGACAATTCGCCCATTTCAGAAAATTTTAGTAATGTATATGCTAATCCATGTTTATATATACACACACAGTATTGATAATAATCAGCTTTTAGAATTTGATGTGTTTCCGAAATCATTGTGAAATTTATTCACACATCATAGAACTAGCTGTTATTTGTGAGCCAAAGAAGTTGAGTAGCAGCCAACTTACCTACCATGAGTACTAAAGTCACAAATCAACAAGGTTCATGTCAATCATATGCCCAGGTAGAATTGTAACTATGTAATCATGCTACATTGAGGAGTATAGACGTTCCAGAGCATAATAAAACTTGAGAAGGCGGAGAAATGACGCTTGTTCATATTCTGAAGACATCTAACAAAAAAAGAAATCAAATCCAGTTTACTTGAATAAGTTTTATCAAACCTGTGCATTGCCATGTTGCTGAATATACCTAAAATCAATGAAACTCAAATGTCACTAAGTTAACCATTCTACAAAGAAGTAGAAAAATCAAGTGTGAGGATTTTGTAGAAACTATGGAAAGGTAACTGGCATAATTTGCAAAGAGGTGGAGGTTAAATTTACCAGGGGTATTCATACATCGTATCTGAGATTTGAGAGGCTTCATTGGCTTAAAGATGAATATCAGTATCATAAAACAAATACCTGCTGTGGGTGTAGTAGTGATAGGGATAATGTTATAAATCTATTTCACACCCTTAATGTTTTTTATCAAAGTAATGAAAATCTCAAAATTCATATGACCAAACTGTTTACAAAACCATTTAACTACCCAAACTTGACTGAATTCTGTGTAGAGTAATAACTGAATAACGACTGACTTCAATAATAGAAGAATATATGCACTAAAATCTGTGTATCCTAGTAGAACTCATGCTAATATGGTTAAACACACTGGATGTTCAGACCATGACTTGTTACTACCTAACTTCTTATAGAAAGTTATACCAAGTAGATGATAAGAAATTGACTGGGTGGCAAAAGATTTATACAGATAATTGTAAGGAAATTAAGACTTCATCGACTTCAACAATTATCACTGAAGGTAGGGATCAAAATATAGCTGAAATCTCTGATTTCTATGCCACCTTGTAGGAGATTTCACTTTAATATCCATAAACTGAGTTGTAGGTAGCCTCCATGACTTTATAAACTTATTGTTTTATCTGTAAATAAAGTGAAATGTAGATTAACTTACTGACAAACCTTCCTTAACTTCCTTAATTATCTCGTTAAACTTGTTATTCACCGAGGTGTGTTGGGAAAAACTTTTAAAACAGTGAAAATTGTGGCATTTATTTTTAACGATAGTAAATGAGATCAGTTATCAGTTTACAGCTTAGTGTAAAAATTGTATTAAAGTTTTAAGATTTAATAGTGGTAGAGGCATTTATGCGGAATATGTATTGTTGACAGGTATCGTCTGTCTGTATTTAACTTATGTCCCAGCAGCACTTAATAATCATAATTTTTCGAGAAACAAGCAAAATGTGTCTTAGTTTTGTTATTTTATTTCATAATTTCGTCAACAGATAGATTGAATATTACTGCCGGCATCCTTGAACATAAAATCAAACGTCTTTACGAACTGGTAGTTCCGCATTTCACAGTGTTGAGAAAGTATTCTAACCAAGTCATTTCTTGATAAGATTTTCTATTACGTAATTATCTAGGATCTTAGTGATTCTTATATTGGAAGTATTACACTTTGAATTAATTGTGCTCTCTGAGCTGGTTGATTTAATTGCGAAGCTTTTGTCATCCCCCCCCCTTCTAGACTACATCTTCAGTGCAGGTTTTATTATAAAATGAACCTATTTAAATTCTCCATGAATGGTGTAACTGTATCTCCAAGCAACCACTGTCGTGACTGGATGCTAATTTTTACGTCTCTATTGATCATAATTTTATTGGCTTAGAATTCAAACTTTCTTATCATGTGATTTGCTGCTTTTTATGAGCTGGCAAATTTAGTCTATAATTATGAGTACTAGGCATCTAGGAATTCTCTGGCATTTTCGGTGTTTTCTCAATTTAAAATTTCTACATTATCTACATTCCCATTATCCATAATTATCCGCATGCATTGATACGAAGAATATACATATGTTTTTAGAGACAATTTGTGTTCTTGGATTCGGATTCGATAGGGACGCCCACTCTGACCAACGCAATATTTATTGAGGTTCATAAAGTTTATTTTATAAATGGTATTAATTTCTTCTTTTTCTGTTGGATCTTTTGGTTTGTACAATATCGAATGAAGGGACTGTCCTCGGATGTGTGCTATATCTATTTCAAACAGTCTTAATGTTCGAGCTGTTGTTTCAGAGATATTTTTCATACATGGTAGGATGAATTTTCTTGTGGCGTTTGATGTTGGCTTGTTGCTGGTGTCATGACTTGAGTCTAAACACTTTTTAATAAAATTGTGAAGATATTACACCTTTGTTAGTGCAGCGTACTTTTTTAAACTTCCATTTAATAGGAATTGTTTAATGGCCACGTATACCATGGGTATATTTTCAAAAAAACGTCTCGTTTCAGTAGTCAAGAGGTAATTTTAAAACTATTAAACACTCATATCTACATAATGTATAGGTATTACTTATACCTCATAATAAATCATAAGGATATTCACTGACAGTAAATAATCTTTTGCTTAATAAGCAAAACCACAAATACAAAATAATACAAGAATAAAATGAAGGGAAATACACTAATGAGTTTTTGTTCTTTAACTGAGATCGAATGTCTGTAATATAAAACGCCTTTTTCAAGTCCATAAAAGAGACTAAATTTCCCTTGGGAGTGAGTTTCACATCACATTTGTTGATCTGTTGACTTTCTATGTATGTTTAACTGAAGTAATACTACTGTCTACGTCTGAATTCTAAAACTGGCTTCATTTAACCAGTTTAATTCACTGGTTATGCATTACCTGTGTTGTGTTCATGAGTAAATGTGTTATTTACCGGTTAAGAATTACTTTATAAGGATGTTATTGCATCTAGGTGTGGCATAACATTGAGTTTCAACTCGAATTCTAAACATCTAATCATAAAAAAAACTTTCACCTTTGTAAGACTAACCTGATAACAGAAAACTCTACAAACATATGTGAGAAACATATGAGAAAATTAAGATTACTCAATGATATAATCTTGTCTTATTATTATTTCCTTTAATTCCTAGAGGAACATAGGGCTTCAGCCTCGCGTCTCCATTCAGTTCGGTTCTCTGCTAGAGTTTTCACCTCGCTCCACGTCTGCCAACACGCTTTCATATCCTCTTCATATGACCTCCTCCAAGTCACCCTTTCGGGTTTCACTCGAAGGCTTGTCTAGTGATGTCACTTGATGGTTTCTTTTCTCAGAGTATGGCCAATCCAATCCACCTCCATTTCTTCCTGAATATTTGTTGCACAATCGGTTTCTGGTTGGTTCGCTCATTGCCAGAGATCCATCCCTGTTCCTGATCTTTTCTGGCCGGCCATCTGATCTTTAGTAGTATTGAGGGAAAACAGTTGCTGATGAAGGTCTGTAGTTTGTTTGAGATGCTCTTTATGACGCTCCAAGTCTCCGATCCGTATAGCAAGTGGCACTGACTTCACATTGGAGTTGAAAATCCGGATGTTATTTTTCTTTCTGGGTGCTGTCGATCTCCACACATACTTGAGAGAAATGAAAGCTTGTCTTGCTTTTCCGATTATCCCATCTTTGATATCCTCGTCAGTTCCATCCACCTGTAGTTGAAACGATGCTTCCTAGGTAGGTAGGTAAAGGAAGTTGTTTCTTTCAGACTCCTCCCATTTATTCTGATTGTTGTCTGTCGTTGTTGCTGGTGCTGTTACCGGTGGCCAGTAACCTTCAACACCTCTATTTTCTCTATGTTCACTTCAAGTCCTATCTTTGATGCTTCTTCTGCCAGCTTGTTGCTTTTCACTTGCATATCTTCCAGTTTGTAGGAAATCAGACATATATCATCGGCGAAGTCCAGATCCTCCAAGTTTTTTGTGTGAGTCCATTTTATGCCTGTTTCCTCATTGCTCGTTTTCTATCGCATTATCCAATCCACTGCAATCAGGAAAATCATTGGAGATAGTAGGCAGCCAGCCAGCCTTGTCTTACTCCCGTCTTCACTTCGAATGATTCCGTGAGTTTCCCATTGTAGATTACTTGGCATGCAGCATCATCGTACAACTGTTGGATGAGATGTATAATTGTCGGCGGCACCCCGTAGTAGCGGAGTAGTTGCCAAATCACCTCTCGATCGACACTGTCTGTCGAATGCCCTTTCAAAGTCGATGAAGTTGACATAGAGAGGTGACTTCCATTCCAACCTCTGTTCAATGATGATCCGTAGTGTGGCGATTTGATCAATACATGACTTGTTTCTCCTGAATCCAGCTTGTTCTGGTCGAAGTTTTTCATCCAGGTCGGCGTGTTTGATTCTCTCTAGGATGATGCGGCTTAGTATTTTGCTTGGGATGGACAGGAGCATGAATCCACGCCAGTTTTTGCATTGACTTAAATCTCCTTTCTTTGGTAGTTTGTCTTAGATTAATAATTCTGTGTAAAACGCTGTTGTTAGTTTAGATGGATACTTTTGGTTTACACCGTTAACAGTGAATACTCACATCCTCCCATATTAATCCTTTAAAACTATACTCTATGGTTGATACATTGCATAGAATGGGTTGTTCAACATTAAAAACTGTAGATACTATATAACTATAGCTATTATTATTATTATTAAATCTCTAACAGAGTATCTGAAAATAACTGTACCGGTTAGATTACAAAGGCTTTGAGTTAAGCATGTTACTCTCCTTTTTTTATTTTTACCCCAAAATCTTTTTTTAAATGAAAAGAAAACATTTTGAAAAATCGCTTTTTATTTGTTATTATTATTATGATGATCTGAATGCTGCTGTAATTTTCCTCTTTTTTATTATTATTATTATTTAGTATTTCCTTTCTCGTCC